CTTTCTGAAAAACAGCCACTGTTGTATTCATCCCGTTTTGTGTAATGATTCACATCCTGTTGGTGATTTTTAATTTTAGTTTTCATGAGAGGTAATAATCTCAGTTTGCACAATTGAAATAGTGTTTCATCACATTTTCTTCTAATAAGATATTGCATTTGGAATGTTACCATGTTTCATCTAAGACTTGAGAACTGTTTTCAGAGATGTTTGATCTTCATTTTTCATATTTATTAAAGTTCTTTTTCCTTATTTGTATAATCTGTGATTTCTGGAAGCCTTCATAATTGGTAACTTTTCTTGACATCCATCAAACACCCTTGTAATGTTTCTAATGAGAAACAAAATATGCTGTCATGCGTTAGTACTGTGAAGCCCCTAAGAAGATGTGGGAAGAATTTATGACATCTGCTTTCCCTCTAAACCTTCAGTATAGAACGGTACAGTTTTATATCATGTTGTGTGGATCAGTAGAAACATAACAGATTTTCCCAATACACAGCACATTTTTCATTTCCAGTTTTTACAGGCATGTTTTGGCATCACTTTGCCATCTTCAGGCCCTCAGTTATTTTAACACATGTGTAAACTTTACATTAAAAATTGCACATATAATATGTCTATAATTTAACCTGATGAATGCATTAGCATGTCAGTTACATATTAAACTTAAAAATTATTAATCAGAATGTCTTAAAAATGTTGGCACACAACTGTACTAAAAAAACTGTAGAGAAACAGTAACTGTTTGCGGATCCAAATATAAATTGCAGTCACATTTTTGCTGATAATAAGGAAAAAATCTATGTATTATAGAATTTTAATATTGGTGCCAAATGTCACTGTTCTTTGACATCCATAGACTGTGCAGTATATATTGGCATCTTATGAGATAGTGTGCTGTAATGTTATTTTGTATGGTTACTGGGGTAAGGGTGTGTGATGCTTCTCCACCATATTAAGGGGAAAGAGTTTGTTGGATTTGAGGTTCTCACAGTGGTGATTATGAAGAGTACAATCTCCTGGGTTGTAACAGTATGCAGTTTGGTAGAGGTCCCCCAACGCTCTGCTTGCCACCCGTTTGTTGCTGGTTTCTTGCTTAGCTAACCTTCGGTCTGGAGATGGAGGCAGTAAGTTTTGGCAAAAGATCGGTGGACTTCTACCATACTGCCTTACAACCCAGAAGATCGTACTCTTAAAAAAATGTTTATGGATAGTAGAGTGAGTTAAATTTGGGTACAACTAATCACCATACTTACTTACTTACTTACTTACTTACTTACTCATGGAGCTGAGCCCTTCTGAAGGAGCTGCCAATTCTGCAGCTACTCAAGAATTTCCCAGCATTTTATGGAACCCGAAGGTTCATTACCATGTTCACAAGAGCCCTCCACTGGTCCCTATCCTGAGCCAGATCTATCCAATCCATACCATCCCATCCTATCTCTCTAAGATCCATTCTAATATTGTCCACCCACCTACGCCTTGGTAATGCTTACTACCATTCAGTTCAGAAACTTTTGCCTTTCCATTTGTTGTGTGAAAACGTAAAAATTAAAATATGCTAATAGATCGGCATGGACGTGAAACTTCGTCTCTGGCATTAAGGGAAGAACATAGATTGAGGGTGTTTGAGAACAGGGTGCTGAGAAAGATATTTGAACTGAGGAGGAGATAATTCCATAATGTGGTGCTTCATGGCTTGTGCTCTTTGTCAAATAGAATGATCAAATCAAGGAGGACAAGATGGTCAGGACATTAGCACTAATGAGGGAGAAGAGGAATGCATTCAGGGTTTTGGTGGAAAAGTCAGATGGAAGGGCGGGGGTGGTATGGACAGGATTAATTTGGCTGAGGTTATGGATCAGTGGCGGGCTCTTTTGAACACGGTATTGAATCTTCGGGTTCAATAAAATGTTACGAAATTCTTGAGTAGCTGAGCCACGGGCAGCTCCTCAAGAAGGGTCCACTTAGTTTCCCCAGTATCAAATATTACGAAAATTCGTTCAGCGATTCTGAAGTTTATGCGTATAAACAGACGGAGTGGAATTTTTATTTTATGAAGAGGGTTGCGTAGGAGCGTAAAGGAATGCTGGAAATGAGAATTTAAAATACGCCCTAAAACTGCACCAACATAATCGCATATCATTTTAACAGACATAGTAATCGCATAATTGCCAAAAATGCGAAATCGGTTTGACATTTATGCGTGCTCTATATTAGGCCTTAGGAAAGAGAAAATGCAGGAAAGTTATATTTTTATATAAGGTTATCCTGAAGAAAGGCCACCCATCTTGATTATTAAATGTTCATCATTAACATAACAAAAAGACACGCTTTCACACGAAACTAAATACTATATCCAATTGCAAATCGGCTCATATGCTTGGAGAGCCTGAGGCAATCTCCAGTAGAATAAGTGAGAATGTATGAAGGCAGATTTCTATATAATCCACCTCTCCATACTGCCCTAATTTGCTGCGTCTGATACACTTCTATTTGCTTAATTAGGATTTAGCAACTCTCTCAGTGGCTCAGGCCACATAGCGTCGAATGGCAGGACGATTAATTGGAAGGTATGTGGAAGGAAGCTGTCATTGCATGTCTGAAGTTAGCTTTCCTTCTTCCACTGGAGTGACTGAGGACAACCACAAAAATCCTCACGATAGTCGACTTCCTACCAGAAATTCGAACCAAGAATCGCTCGAATGAAAGTCAAAAAGTATTACCGCTTGTCTCACCTCGTTGGATACTATTCATCTAATTCAGCTGTGATCCATGTCGCTATCAAGCAAGTCAAAACAGATTAGTTCCAGAAACAAGCTGTCTATTTTTGGCATTGAAATGCAGTCACGTTAATAAAACATTTTTTTTTTCTCATGGGTTGAGACTGAGTCTACATGGTACTGCGACCAGTTTGGCTTATTGTACCAGTCCAAGATGATGGATGATGATGATTCTGAAGCAATCGATGGAATGCGAATTGGTAGGGGAACCGAAATAGTCGGAGAAAACCTACTCCAGTGCGACTTTGTCAACCACAAATCCCACATGATCTGAGCAGGGCTAGAATTCCGGCCGCCATGGTGAGAAAAATAAATGGTATATCAAAATGTGCATCCTGTATTCTCATCTTCAACTGTTGCAAAGCAAACGACGAACTGCAGAAAGCAGATTTGTCTCGTAGCTCTCATCTCTTGAACACGAAAGTTTGCATTCCTTGTTGGGCGCGTTCGCAACCACTCCGAACGTCTGTTAAACAAGATTTGTCCTCCCGACTACTGTCTGTACGCGTGCGTCAACTGGAGAACCGCAAAACGAATTAGTATGCAATTATATATTGATGATTTCTGCTAAAATTCGACATGTTCCAGTTTTGGTTATAAACAACTGACAAACTTCGTGACGACCTACATGCATTTCTTCGTTTATCTTGAGCATATCTGCTAAATACACCCCCTTCGTAAGTCTTGCGTTTTTCGAGATAAGTAGATAAATCTGGCCCTATACGTACATTTCTGAACATGTGCATTGAACAATCAACAGTGGACTCCAGAACATACCTTACACCAATTAAACGAAGCGTCTTCCTGCTCGAATTTATAAATCTACAAGAGTATAAATACATATTAATTTAAACTGTAATTAATAGTGCTGTCAGAGTCTTATTCTTGTCAAAACAAGTCGATCTAAACGAGATCAAATGCTTGAATTATTTTAGCAAAAGTCTGCGATCACAGAAGGAACAAAATGAAAATGTTTAATGTAGTGCTCAGCGCTCATAAATCCTTCTGCCGAACGCACCTACTAGGTGACACTATGTGATTTTACAGTCTTGCTTATTATTATTATTTCTGTCAGTACTGTTCTCAGAAAGAACCCACGTTTGCTTGAAAAAGTGAAACTGTCTACAAGGCCGGCCCAAGAGTAAATACCTTCCGAGATGACGAGAACCCCCCTCCCACAGTTAAGATAGACTCAACTTTCTCAAAATTTCGTTGCACTTAATAACACACAAAAAGTTTCATTTACATCGTTGCATAACATGCTATATGACTGCCAATTAATGGTCATGCTATGAACAAAAAAATCAGAAATTAATTTTTATCCAACAAAAAGCAAAAGAAAATTACCGGCAAACATCCTCCTTACATGGACGCTTTTTCGCCTATATTGTCGCAAGGGATTCGATAGTATATAAGTTAGATTAACTCCTGTTTGTTTTGGATTCAAGGATTTATTTTCACGCAACTTTGTTTACCAGTTCAGAAACAGGATCAACTGAGAGCAAATTAAACGTGAAAATATTTTTTGTTGTCCCTGTCGCAGTTCAGTAGAATTTGATGTAAATATCGACTACCTGCATATGACTCGTAATAATGCCTGTTTCTAATGTCGTTATGAAAGCACTAAAAACCGCCCTCTGAAAAGTTTCCTTTTTGATGGAAGAGGGAGGTCTAAAAGTAATTTTGATGTTCGATGTGCGAAGAATAAAGTTCTTGCGCGATTTTCGTCACTCGTCTATGTGAATATATTTAAAATCTTTTTCTGATGTGATAACGCTCGCGTGTTTGTGGCTGAATGTGTAGTAGCATTTGCGCTATGTTCTAAAATTATTACTTCCTTCGTACATATGTGTGTAGTGTGAAAGAAAAATGTTATGTTACAAGACAAAAATACGGCATTTCGCCATATTCTCTTTCCTAGATATTCTGTTTTCAGATGTTGGTTGCCCTGGTTAACTGTAATACGTGATTTTCATCTGGCGGTTAATAAATATATGGTACTATGATTTAGAAAAACTTACGGATAAATCGAGATTACTGCAGTATAATTAATTCAATAATAACATGTTTAAATTTTCAGTTTGATGTGTATCTAATGAATTGCGTCTTTGGAGTGATTAGTTCAGAACCTTCGTTTCTGGTGAGTTCACCATTTCATGGTATCTGTAAACAGTGTTGCAGCGTGGATACATACGCTCATATGTTTGGGTGTTGTTATATCTAGCAGAAGGGATGTTGGTGCTTGTGTTCGTCAGCATTAGCCGATAAAATATATTAAGGTAAATTAATTTATGTATACTGATGAAACGTTGTTCAGCTTAGGTTTGTTATGCTTAATGTTCACATTTTATGAGCTGTTATTGCATCTAAAATATATAATACTATATCGCTTGGTCATGCATGTTTTGGCCTTATTCGTCCAGAGCGTAATGGCTGAAATTTGACCCATATATCTAATTTAAACACAGTATCAGTAACCATATTAATATCAGACGTAAGAGGTTTTAGCTGTCTGTTCGTTCTGCAAAGAACGTGTGACCGTAGTTTATTCTGTTTGTGTAAGCTGGAAGGTATAATGTTGTCCACGTCTCAAATTTACACAGCTGTGTTCATTGATGCCTAAATTAGGCTAACACTTGTTAATTGGGCATAGATGTCAATCCACCCTTTTTATTTTTCTTTCTTTGCACATGCGTACGATTTTAATTTAAAAAGTTCAGAAGTGTTGTAGGTTTTACATTTTTTTTTCTAAAATGCAGATTTCAGTAACGGGAAGAATAGGCGACCGTATATTTGTTCCCGTACTTATGCATCAGACATGTAAGTAATGATTGGGGTAAGGCATTACGATATGAGTTATAATTGCGTACATTTGACTGCATAAAATATAGTGGAATTTGCCGGACTTAGGTAATGTAGTGCGGTAAGAAATGTAGGCTGTTCATGTGTCCATTACATACTACTGCTTGAAATATTTATTCGGGTTTTATGTTACGCACGAAATAAAATGTAGTATTATATGTTACCATTCACTTTCTTTGAACAGGCCAGAGGCATCAAGGTCTGATACTCACTATATCTCGCCCATTAATGGGGCCTGTTGCTATGGTTACACGGGCAGAGAAACAGGTTTTCGTGTTTCCATGACAACGGCATCCCCGTTGGCATGGCGACTGTGAACTCACAGACGTACAAGCATGTGAATTTGTGTTATGAACACCCCATCCCTCCGCCCCCTTTTTTAGCCTTGTTCGCAAATGTGAAAGTACAATTTTGCCAATAAGTGACAGGAGTGATATTAGAGGTATAATCATAAAATGCTTTCGGGTATGCCTTTCGAACTGGCTGGAAGATATTTTGTCTAGGCTGGTTTGGTAAGTATAAATAATGCCCAGAGAAACCTGAACTGTATGTAGAGTACAAATTCATTCCACTTTTTTCACGAATTGTTACAACAACATTTGAAAACAGCTATCGATACAATAAGGTCAGGGGTCCTCGAGACGTTCGTGGCCTAGCTGGAACCTCTTCGACCAGTAAGCGATGTGAGATGCCTAGTGATTGCGTATTTTCGGGTTACAAGTCGAGTAGCTTGGCTGGACGCTATTTTAAAAATAAACGCCGCATGTTTATAGATTATGTATGTGTGAAGCCGCTGGATAAAGTCTTTTCGTATATTCGTATCAGTTATGGATATCATGCTTGTAGTGTGTGAATGCTTTATTTTAAAATGAGATTGGATCGTAATATGTATTTCATACATACTAGCAAGACGGGCAGCTGAAAATACTGTGTTAAGTAAAATATAGGCCTATCGCAGTCACGTGTCTTACGCTTATCGAAATGGCCGTTTATCTTAGCGTAGATGTGTACTAGTTCTATTCCACCCCAGAACAGATACTGGCCTGATTTATCATCTAATAGATCTGCAGCATGGACAGACTGTATAATACGGTGATCACGTACGTTTGTCGCTGAATTGAATGTATCAGCAGTGAATAGAAGTATCATAATTTGAAATAGCCCAGCCAGTAAAGTTACTGGCTACTGGATGGACTACCAAGGGGTCCAGTCCCTGGCAAGGTGTTTTCTTTGTGCCTTCACGTGCAGAACTCTGTCGTCAGCACACTTCTCAGCCAACGAGTAGGCTTCTTCCGAAGTAGAGCGGCCGGGGGGGTGGTGACCTTATTGGAGACGATCAGATTTATATCGTAACATTCAAAATAATAATGTTCATAGCGATACCCATGAACCTTCATCTAGTACCGACGCTAAGGATGTGAGGAGCATTCGTCATTTTTTTTTTGTGGTTTATTTTATGACGATGTCGCTATCTCAGACTGTAGCGTCGACTGTAGGATTATTGCTGAATAATGTATTGGAAAGGAAGCGGTCTTATCGCGGCATTTCGGAAGTGCCTGAGGAAGACCAGGTACAATCTCAGTCAGGATAGCCAGTGTTCCGTCCGAGATTCGAATATATTGCCTCTCGAATAAAAATCGAGAGGATTACCATTACTCCAACCGGCCGAGTAATATTCGTCTTCATGGCGAGGTGCCAACTTTAGCGGATAGAGGGTGTCGCATGGTCAGCGCAACGAATCCCCAAGGCCGTTAATTTTGGTTTTCTGGACCGGAGCAGCTACTTTTGGCACTCGTCGACAAGCGGCGGTCGCTTGCGGACTAAAGCCACGGAGTTTGTTTTTTGTTTTATGACGAGGTGCTAAAACACTGAGAAATTTCACTCTTTACTTTTTGGCGTGGACTCTTTTCTACTGTATCCAATTCATGTAATCTGTCATTGAAATCGGTTTTATGTACGTTTTTTTGTAAATTATTGTCAACTTAATGCTACTAGAACTTTATTATGCTTCAGCCGCTGGTTCGTAGTAGCGAAATTTGGATGTTGGGACGCCTTGAGTTTAGGAGACATGGGACATATTCCCTTTCAGTAAATTGGGGAGGAGTGGGCAGTTCTCTTTTGCAACGTTGATTGGAGATATTTTACTAATAGTTAAATCGGTATAGTGACCAGACAAAGGGCTGGACGACCGAGGAGCCAGCGTTCGATTCGCAGCAGAGGCAGAGATGAGATTACCCTCTTCATCACACATCTGTACCACTTCTAGGATGCACTGGAGTCCCATCCACTGCATACTTGGGACTCTTTTCTCAGGGGCAAAGCGGCCGGGACGTGAAGCTGGTTACTCCCTCTGACTGATGTTAAGATCAAGGTTGTATGGGGCTAGCTATTCCTCCATGGCATTTTTCTGGGAGGGACAGCTTGATTTGTGCTTGTACAGTCCCTTCCACTTCTAAATACATAGATTCTGTAGTGAATCTCACAGGGAATTTCTTGTGTTAGCTGAGAGTTTCTCAGCTTCTCAAGAAGGACTCTGCTGCATGGTATTACCTCATATACAGGGCTAGGAAAGTGGCAGGCAGCAGTAATGAAGTTTCCTCCTCGTCCTCCTGTTGCTCCCAGTTGTAGCATACAGCATCCGTGAGACGCTTCGTTTAATTTATGTTTCTTAACCTAAGACAGTCAGTAGAACTCCTTGGACAGGGGATCAGCCTGTCGCATGACCACTACGTAACACAGACATCCATGCCTTGAGTGGGATTCGAACCCACGATTCCAGTGTTCGAGCGGGCGAAGACATTTAATGCCTTAGACCGCGCTGTAATCGGAAATGAAATCACAGGTTAGTAAAAATGTTTTATGCGAGGAGGTGTTATTTGTACCGGTTTGTATTCACTCATATTGACAGCCGTAATTTATATTTGCCCTCCCACGCCCTCTGACAGTGTTAAGCAGTGAATAATAAAAGAAAGAGGTCTCAGATCGTTAATATAATTTTAAACACTTGCAACAATCGAGTTCCAAATTTATTACAGCACATGTTTAAAGTGGCCACTGTTAGACTGCATGCATGGTGCCAGTCCTTGGGCCATTGAATGTTGCCGCTGCATGCGTCCCGGCTCGTTTCTGATAGCAACGACGACTTCATATATGGTATAACTAATGCCTTTCTTCTGGTTTACCACCATGATGTGCCATCGATTTTGTGGAACCACACAGAAAGAAATGTAAAGGCTCTAAGTTGGGAGACAGAGCGGGCCAAGCCACCGGTCCACCTTTTCCTAGCTATTTTACTTCAAAATCTTCATTAAAAAAATCCGTTGCCGCTCCAACGAAATGCGGAGGTGCTACGTCATGTTGTAGCCACGTTTGTCTTTGTTTTGCAAGAGTCACTTCCCTTAAATGCAGCGGTAATTCATTTTCCAGAAAATTCCTTTAAAACGGGGCTGTTAAGCTAGTTAGACTTATTAAAATGTGTTTAAATGAAACCTGTAGTAAAGTCTGTATATGTAATCATTTGACTTGTACTTTTTTTACTAAGAATTAACTAAAAGAAGGAAATTGTCAGTGGTTTTCAGCTTTGATTTAGAATACACCATTAGGAAGACCGAAAAGACCAGGAGGTACCGAAATCAAATGGGGCACATCAGCTTTTGATGTATGCTGCTGATGTAAATCTGTTGGGATATAACATAAATACAAGAAAAAAAAACATATATGCTGTAATTGATGCTAGTAATGAGGTTAGTCTAGAAGTAAACAGAAGAAACTACGTATATGTTAATGTCTGATCACCAGAATTCAGGGTAATATCATAACGTAAAGACAGCTAATAGATTCTTTGAAAATGTGACGAAGTTCAGATACTTGGGATTGACAGTAACAGATCCAAACGTGTTTCGTGAAGAAGTTAAGAGCAGTTTAAACTCAGTTAATGTGTGCTGCCATTCAGTTCAGAACCCTTTGTCTTCTCGTCTGCTGTCTAAAGATGTAAGAATTAAAATACACCTGTAGATCGGCATGGGTGTGAAACTTTGACTCCAACATTAAGGGAAGAACATAGACTGAGAGGACTGGACAGCATGATGCTGAGGAGAATGTTCAGACTTAGGACGGATGAAATAATAAGAGGTTGCAGAAAAATGCACAGTGACGAGCTTGATAACTTGTACTCGTCGCCAACTATAACTAGAATGAGCAAATGAAGTAGGATTGGTAGGACATGTAACACACATGGAACGAAGAGGAATGCTAAAGGGTTTTGGTGGGAAAGCGAAGAGGAAAGAGACTACTAAGAAAACGCAGATGTAGGTGGGAGAATAATATTTAACTGGATAGTACGGAACTAAGAGTGGGTAGTATGGACTGGATTAATGTGGGACAAGTGGAGGGCTTTTGTGAACATGGAAATGAACCT